AACTTTGGATGCTCTGATATTGGGGAATATAGAATTATTCAAGAAGTAACATAAAGAATTTTTTTTCCCTCGTTGTTTGATTTTTATTTATTTTAGTTATATTATTCATAATTTATTAATAATATATTTCTTATTATTAAATCAAGAGGGATTACATCTGAAACTTCCATCTACACACTATCTCATTTTTTATCACCTGAGTTAATATCAACTAGTAGATTATATATGTGTATGCACACACAATATATACAAAAATTATATCACTATAGAAGTTATAAATAATGCAACTCAACTTATATTCGAATTAAAGCTCACAACTTTGATGCCCCAAAAGAATTAGAGAGATATATAGTAACAACCTGATATTATAAGAAGAATTAAACCCGTAATTTCCTATTTGTAGTAAAAATATCTATGCTTATAAGGTCATTGATATTGATAGCCTAGTTTTAATAATGATTTATTAACATTTGAATTTTAAAGAATTGAACAGCAAACTTGAAAAGTGAGTCACCCACCACTATGGCCACCTATCATACGTATTGCTTTTCTGGTCACACACCTGAAGTTTACGAATTGAATACATGCATCATCCATCACACCTTCAAACGAATCATTAGTCTCCACTTGAAAACTCTGTTTTTGTTTGTTTGTTTATAAAGCTAATATAATTATTATATTAGAACAAAGATAAGTAAACAATACATGTCAACAAAATTAGTTATATAAACATATTCTAATTTTTCTTACTACCGTTGATCCTTAATATAAAACCTAGTTGATTTGTTGGGAGAGATTAAAGAAGTTCTAAAATACTCCTCTAGTCTTTAATGTAAGACTTAATTTAAGAGTTGATGTTGGTCTTATTTGTAAGATCTATTTGATAAGTTTATCAATTTTTTTTTTAAATCAACCCTATTGATATTTCTCAGTAATAATCAAATAGAAAAGGAAGGGAGAGAACTAAAAAAGATGGTTAGGATATTTAAAAAAAAGCATATCATATTAATTAATTTAACTAATATATTTAAATGAGTTAATTAGGTCTTATATTAAAGACCGCATGAGTATTGAGTACTTAATTATAGTGTATAGGAAAGTCTCTATTAACCTGTTTTAAATGATTTTTATAATATGAGTTTTTATTTTGTGCCTTTAAATTTTACTCGAGCCCTTTCTAATCTAAAAAAGTAAAGTGTATATTAAATCTGGGAGAAAACAATAGAGCTTTTTAAATCTTTAATAAATGGAAATATGAAATATCATATTTGTTAAAAAAAAAGACAATATAATGTCTGATATCTCCAATATTAGTGAGTCATATTTAAATATTTTTGGACCCAACCAGTAGTCATTAAAAAAAAAAGTTACAAAAATGCAGCTTCTTTGTAACTATATATGAAACACATGACCCGCAATTTTTTTCATGAAATAAAAAAGAATGAATAAATCTTATCGCCTGTATAGTTAGTAAAGTCAAATGAAAAAAAAAATCAATTTCTATTAAATAAAAGAAATGATCAACTTAAAAAAATTATTATCAATTAGAGCTAACATTACTTACATTTCAATTCAACGAGATTAGATAAATATGTTAATAAAATAATTGGATTTAAAATTTATTTGTGTTCAAAGGATTTTCAAGGTAAACGAACCAAGCAACCCCATTTCAATGTGCCAAGTCAGAAAACGGCATCGTGACTTTGAAACGCGCGCAGCATTTCTTGGAATTTTGATTTGAAGAGGTTTGGGCTAGGGTTAGGGTTAGGGTTAGGTACTGAAAAATTAGGAACATAAATTAAAGTAAACTAAACAAAATTTCTTCTTTTCCCATTCTTGTAAGAAAAGAAAGTTTTGAATGCAGAAGAGATAAATAGGTAATTTTCATTAACTTACCACATATTTAATGACTCAACTAATAATACTTATATCGAATTTCTTATATCTATTATATCAAGTTCTTCAATCATACATGACCATGTATCACATTTTTAAAATATTAATATTTAATAGCATTTAATGATAAATTTATATAAAATAAAAAAGAACACATAATCATATGGATTGAAGAATTTGATATAATAAATATAAATAATTTGAATTTTTTTTATTTATAAGAAAGCTTAACTAACAGTGCTTAACTAACAGTGAGGGAGTATCTTATAAGAAAATCAAGAAGAGGCGACTAACTTATTGATTTTGTCGGAAAATGAAATAAAATTGCTAATTTTTTCATACTTCCTCTAGTCCTATTACAGGATATTTTCTAGTAATAATTTTTGTTCCAAATACAAATCACCAACAACATTATTAATTATTTTTTCCATTTTATCCTTATTATTAATTGAAGTTTAAATTTTTAAAAAAACTAAGTTACATCATTTAAAGAGGGGTAAAATTGAAAAAAAAATCAATTTATGATAAATTTAATGATGTAATTGTCATTCATTGATATTTAAATAAAAAATATTCACATTTGTATTTTATTACCTCTCATAATTAATGATTTTAAATAGGGATGCCTTGTCAAAATCATTTTCAATTAATTCTCACAAACTAACAAATAACAGTTAAATCATTAAATATGCCTTAAATTGAACTAACCAACTGTTGGTTGAGATGATATGCAAAAAAAACTCCGCTCTATCATTTCAAGCGATTCTGATTTATCTATCTTTTTTCTCTTTCTAACATGAATTCGATATGATAACATTGAAAAACAATTGTTAGTGACATATAATAAACATCATCCATTTTTTTTGAAATATGTTTGATAATGATGATAGGAGGGATTAGGTTAAATCATTGAAAATTTGAAATTCAAAGTACAAAACAAAAGACGTCTTCTTCTTCACATGAGAATTCAGAATTGTGTTTCACAATATACCACCAACCAACCTCCGTTGAATCTTCCATGTCCACTCCCTTACTCACCACGTGGACCAATCCTTCCTTCATTGTTATTTTACACAACTAGAAAATTAATTCATTAGGTTACTATCTTTTTTAAAAATAAAAAAAAACTTGTCTTCATTCAGATCTTTACGCTAATTAATTAAGATAATTTTTTTAATCGCTTCACATAATCATTGTGGGGATTTTTTTAGATTATCACTTACTAATATTTTATTAGATTATCACTTTTTAACAAATTCATCTTCACGCTAATTAATTAATTATATTATCTGAATAAATATTTCACTCTAACACAGTGCTTACTTCTGATCAACGTCAGAAGTGACCACTGTTGTTTAACGACTTTGAAAAAACAAGTAGTGTGGCGTGTGTGTGTGTGTGTATATTTATTATGTATATAATAAAATTCATAATAAGTTATACTATTTTATAAATTACAAGTGATATATAGTTCATTCTTTGAAAATTTATGTCAACTAATTTATTTTTTCCCCCTACAAAATGTGATTTTGCTCTTGCAATTCTTGGGGTTTACAATTTCAGCATTTACTTGTCATTGACATGAACTTACCTAAATTAATAACTTAATTTTTGTTCACAAAAGAATTAAAAAAATTAATTTCATACCCACTTTTATCTTTATATTTTTTGCATGCACTATTTTTTTTTTGGCCTAGAGGTACACTTTTTTTTGGTCATAAATTTGAGTTGATTTAGAAGAGTTTAAATTTTTTTTTTGTTTTTTAAGCAAATTACAAATTTTTATGATATAGTTTATTGATGGTTCCTTTGGCGTTAGCATATAGTTGATCATATTCAAAATTTAAAAGAAGCCACACGTTCTAAAACACGTGTTTGTTTTGCCTATTGGATGTGTACATATATATTTTTAAAAAATAATAAATTAAAGAATATAAGGACAAAATAAAGAGAAAAAAATGAAGGGTGGTTGATGCCCGCTTGTTATTAAATTATTTTCCGATTTCCAGTTCCATCAACCGAACTAATATTTTATATTTTAAAAAAAAGCATGATAATTAAGCTACAGTAATTACCAATTAAGGTCAGTCTCAAAAACTAAAAAAAAGTGATTAAATAATTAAATTTTTCTGAAAATAAATTACCGTGAATTACATTTAAAATGTTATAAGAGTTGTACTTTTGATTGGCTATTAAATATGGGTAATTTTAGAAAAAACATAACTAATATCCTGCTTGATCGTCTATTTTCTTCTACAAAGGTAACTTGTAATAATCACGGGAGTAATAATATAAAGTAAAAGCAGTGTGGGACAAAAGATTAAAAAAAAAAAAAGAATAGTATCTCTTGACCTACATATTCATGTAAATAAAATAGTATTTGAAAAATCGTCCCACATAAGTTATTGCTAATTCTTTATATAAACAAAAAATATAATTAAATTATATAATGGTTTTAACTTTTACCCCTCAGGTGAAGTGCAAAAAGGTGTTTTGTTTGATTGTAAATAATTCGTATGGTTGAGAAAAATTGGAAAAGCATATGCTGCCAGATGATACCAAAAATTTGGATAAAGTGTGACATGGATAGTAAATATTGGTTCAAAATTAAATGAACATGGCTCCCTAGTTTTCATTAATTTACTTACTACCCCTTCCATTCTTTTTGTTATAAAAAATAATTAACTAATTTTTTTTATTTATAAAAACAATAAATATATTTAAAAAATAAAACTTTTTTTTAACTAAAATCACTCATGCTTTTAGAAAAGAGAGAATATATAGTAGAAAAAGAATATGTGAGAATTAAATATAATAATATGAGTTGTTAAACGTGGGTATAAGGTGAAATCAACAAACAAAATTTGATACAATATTCAAATATTTTTTATTAAAAAAACTATATTTCACAATGGTCTATTACAAATAATAATAATAAATAGGAATAATAATTTCTGATTGTGAATAGGATTATGTTAAATAAGAAAAAATAGTAATAATAGTAGTAGAAGTAGTAGTAATAATAATTAAGCTCACGTGTCGGTGATCTGATTTGTGCTTTTATATCTCGCAAGCCTTCCTCCACAGGTCACTTGCCGTTCAACCCCCCCAAAGCAAAACAGGCAAACGCCTTCATCTCTCTCTCTCTCTCTGCCTTCTGAGAAAGTTGGAGCGAAGAAGGAAGGGCGGGCATGGTGACACCTGGTGATTCTGGTGTTTCTGATGGTTGTTGAAGAGTGTTGAAATTTACTAACAATAAGTGTTGTTCATCTTCATCAATAAGTCTGGCAGGATTAAGGAGAATCTCTGTGCCACTCAGGCTTAGAAGGAAAACCAGGAAAAAGAAGATCCCTAAAGTCAAAGATAAGTTAATGGATTTCTGGCACAAGATGATTTTCCCTGTCCGGCGTGTCTGGCTTGCTCTCTCTTCTCGCCTCAAGACTCGCAGAAACGGTACTCTCTCTCTCTCTCTCTCTCTAAAAATATGCAAGGAAAAAAAAATCAATGGGGTTGCTAGTTTTCTTTCCCTGTTCTTCTGATCTCTGGTTTTTCATGTATTTTGGGTTTCCCTTTCTTTAACAAGTAAATTCTTCTGTTTCTGTCTTCTTCCTTCAGTTTCCAAGTGAGTCTGCAGATTTTTTTGCACTGAAATGTATTGTTTCTACATAGGCTTGTCTGAAACACAAAATTACATTCCCTCTCTTTTCTTCTGCAAGCGTGTGGTTTTTGCAAACAGAGACATGTACGGACAATCTAAGCAGATTGGTATTTGTGTTTGTCCATAAATTAGCGGTTAAGCAGGTCACTTCAAGACAAAAGGAAGGAGGCACCTTTATTCTGTCTTTAAATGGCTGCATAAATCTTAAGCTATTATTCCTCCTTTTTCACATCACCCCCCACACACATAGATATACATATATAAGAAATTGTTGTTTTCTTAACCATGAATGAATCTTTTTAAGCGTTGTCAGTGGTAACTAACCTAACCTGATAACATATGATCTGGTCTGGAAGAGAAGAGTCTAGATAGATAGGATCAACATCTTTTTCAGTGCAACTTTATATGCCCTTGTCTGTTACTTTACTAAAATATAACTTGAAAGTATATTTTATAATGACCATACTTTTTGTTATACCCACATAATGGCCTCAAAAGTGCCTTCTCCATCACACCCCCAAATGAATGACTTGTGACATCAGCCCCTAGGTTGTCACTGTACAGAGGAAAAAGGAAAGATTAATCTTTCAGTCTGGATAATTTTGTTTTGGTTGTAACGTAGTCCCTAACTTTTAAGCAGTACAACTCAATTCCTATCATTTTAACTTTAACTTACTGCAACCATGTAAAACTCATTTAATTTTATTTTCTAAGATAAGAGCCTCAAATGTTTTATGGTTTTTGGTGCAGGGGATGGGCTGCTGAAGCTTCAAGATGATATACAGACATGTGGGTATCAAGATGTACAAGTGATGTGGGAAATGCTTAGAAGAACAGAACCTGAGGCTGTGGACAGCCATCAGAAACGGAAACAACAGCCATTCTGGGGAATCTTTGTTTGGCCTTCTAATTCTAACCACAGTGATGCATCCTTGGAATCTTCCAAGTCTTCGTAGTTGTTAAGGCGAAGCAGACTTATGCTTGATGACGATGATGATGTCTGATGCCTTTACTAATAAAATTTCTGCTGCTCATGTTTGGATTGCTAGCAGTGAAGAGGCATATATAACATCAAACATATGTCAGCTTTCTTTTCTCTCTTACAACTGATAGATATATATACACACTACTTTGTGACAGTGATATTTGTAAATACTTCAATGTATTGTGGATAGCCAACCCAGAAGCTTTCAGGATTTGCTTCTTGTGGTTTCAGGCTGACTTGCTTCAAGCTCATGCAATTCAAGGTTTTTACTGATAAGAACACCTGTTATTGTGTTAATCCATGGAACAAGATCACAAAGCTTCTTGGGTTCCATTAGCTTAAACAAGAAATTTCTAAGAGATGAAATGGAAGTCCACCAATTAATCCAAACAAGAGAGAACTCTATAGTTAAAATCTAATTCATATTTATATAAGATTTTGACTTGATAATCTTAACTCTTGTTTGTTGGTGTGGAGTTCAAGAGACCAATTAGATCCTAACTCTTCTTTCTGAATTTACCTATCCATTTATTAGATGGCGTGACCATTGAGAGGTCCTAAGGACAAAGTCTTTGTGGACCCTACCTGTATTAACTTGGAAGGTGGGGCCCAGAATGGACTTGGTGGGGATACTTTTTATCCATCTCTGAAAAGTTTCCGCGTGCAACAGAAACCAACTTCTCAGTTGCTCTCTGGATTACACATCGCAAAGCATAGACAAGGAAGCTTGTCTCCCGTGAAACGTCAATAACAAAAGCCAGTTACATCTCAAAACTACTCCCATCGCACACACCTGGAGAAATATATAAACTGCAGCAGCTTATATGCTTTTGGGTCATAGTCAACTAATAAAATAGTCTACAGGAAGATCTATTCTCATCGGTTCATCATGGATGGTGAGAATTCAGCACCAACAGGGAGGCACTCGGCAATTATTTGACTCTGACAATGAAATGTTAATGGACAAAAGAAAGTGAGGATGACAAAGTGGTGATGACTTGATTATATCAGATTGAAACATATCAAGACTAGACTTGCGACAGGGTCATGATATGGTTAACCAGAATTATATTATCAAATACATGAAAACTTGATTCAAGTTTCAAAAGAAAAAATCTTCAGCATGTAGTAGTATCTTCTTATTTTTATGAGATTCACTCTTATCTAAGGCACCCCATTATTTTCAAATTACTTAAAGTAGCTTCTCAAAATAATAATAATAAAAAAATTCTTTCCATATTTTATTATTTTCTAATGCTTAAACAAATCAAACATTATAAAATTTATAAAAAAAAAAGATAAGTGATTTTATCATGAAAAAAGATTAAACAAATGAAGGACACGATTAGGAAGAATAAAATAATAATAATAATCTTATGTCAAATTTGGGGAAATATTCAAATATTGTTATTTTTTTTCATAATTGATTAGTAATAGGTTCATATCATATAATTATGATTTTTTTTTTTTTGGAAATTTCTATCTGTACAATGGGGTGAATAGACATGAATGCGTTATGTACCGCGTATTAAACCAATTTGTTGGTCGGCTGAATTTAACCAGAATGATTCTTATGTCAGCTTTCTTTCATTGGGACAGACTGAAATTTCAAATTTCAACGTGATAATCTCAACTTAGTTGAGGAGTTTAAGAGGCTTTAATTAGCGTCAGGTATGGCAAGAGGAATGGAGAACAAAGTTAAATTGGAACAAGGCTGTATTATCTCTGTTTGTGCTTCTGAATCAACCAATCCACTTATCAGATAAAATGACATGTCCATTAAGAGGTCCTAAGGTTAGGACAAAGCCTTGTAGAGCCAAATGTGCCAATTTTGAAATTTGAGAGATTGAAGAAGGGGCGCCTACAAGGAACCTTGTCTTTCATGAGAGGTCAATAACACAACCCAGTATAAATTTTGCAGAACATGATTTTGGGTTGTTCTTAAAAGAAGCATTCATAATTTCAATATCAACAAAGAAGCATTCATCGAGCCTTTATGCTTTGTTTTGTAAAAGTGAAATGTTAGTTGAGGGATCCATCTGAGGAAAAGTAAACCATGTATTTACATCAGATCGTAATATTCAAAAACGAAAACTTGGGGACAGTCATAATTTTGTATTCTTTTGAGAATTGGAAGGAGCCATATCAAAGCAGTTATTACACAAAGTTTTACAAATCAAAGAAATACTAGCCAAACCAATCCAATCTACACAGTTGTTGTACAAACGTATACTTCTCTTCAATTCTCCGAATGCAAAAAAATCCTACAAATCTATTAGTATCAACTTGCTCTCTAAATCCATATTCACAGTTGTGCCAACACTGAATCTGCTATCCATTCCTGATTCCTGCAAGAAATACATTTCGACAATGTCAAACTTGGCCTAGAAATAGATGAAACAACAATAACAAAATGTCATTGTAGTTAATCTTAATATATTATACATAATTTGAGAGGTGGATGCACGAAACTCACTTTCTGTCAAGCCTTAGTCACAAGTATGTATTAAGAAGAACTGGAACGTCCCCCAGTTGTACCAGCCTTAGAAGCAGGCGAAGAACTAGAACTCGCCCTGCTTGTACCAAGCTTAGAAGGTGAAGAAGAACTAGAACTCGCCCCACCTGCCTTAGAAGCATCAGAAGTTTTAGCCCCACTTGTGCCACCCTTAGAAGGTGAAGAGGAACTAGGAATCGTGCTGCTTGTACCAGCCTTAGAAGGTGAAGGAGAACTAGAACTCGCCCTACCAGCCTTAAAAGCATCAGAAGATTTAGCCCCACTTGTGCCACCCTTAGAAGGTGAAGAGGAACTAGAAATCGTGCTGCTTGTACCAGCCTTAGAAGGTGAAGGAGAACTAGAAATCGCCCTGCTTGTGCCACCCTTAGAAGGTGAAGAAGAGCTAGAGATCGCCCTGCTTGTGCCACCCTTAGAAGGTGAAGAAGAAATAGAAAGCGCCCTGCTTGTGCCAGCCTTAGAAGGTGAAGAAGAAATAGAAAGCGCCCTGCTCGGACCAGCCTTAGAAGGTGAAGAAGAAATAGAAAGCGCCCTGCTCGGACCAGCCTTAGAAGGTGAAGAAGAACTAGTACCCGCCCCGCCAGGCTTAGAAGCAGAAGAACTAGCTCCACTAGACTTGATCGCTTCTAGTGGATCAAGTTGACCACTGTGATAACTAGAATTTACTAAAGATATTTCCAGCTTCCCTCTCCATTCTTCGCCAGGCTTGATGGTAACTCCTCTTTTTCCTTTCTCCATTATACGAGCAGGCCGAACACACACCATTTTTAGATACTCTTCATTCCCAAAATCTGCTAAGGCCTTAGCTTTCTTGTCCCATGGATTCCATACCCCTATACAAGAGAATGAAACCACTATTAACCATGCAGTATCGTATTTATAGATCTCTATCAGCGTTTTACACTATACTATAGAATATGAACAATTCAAACACATAGCTTAGGAAATAATTACTCCTATACCAGCATCAGTAAGCCCTTCCTGGCGCAATACGTATGTTCTCTTCTTTTCATGGTCTATGATAGCAATTTTTTGTGGAATATCAAGGTATACCCTATCAACCTTCATTATTAAAGAGACGAACACAGTTAGCACTCATCGTTAAGCCAATAAATATCACCTAAAAAAAAAAAAATCAATCATGAAAGTTGAAACTTATTTGAGAATCACTAATACTAGCCTCTTCCTCAAAGGTTAATGCATTCCCTTGTTCAGTAAATCGCTCTCTGTTCTTTAAATTGTCCAGATAATCATATGTTTCAAACCCTTCTACGCGTACGTCCCTGAGTAAAAGGGAATTCGATAGTTAGTTGAAAATAAAGAAGTTGACTTCAAGAACGTTCAGGACTGAAGTATATATTAATTAAATAGAGGAAATGGAGAGGCAATGACAAACCAGACATCAGATACACAAAAATGTGCATTGTAAGCAAATGAGAAGGTGAATGGTTTCCCATTTAGATTGATATTTCGAATGCGAGATATCAATGTCAAATTTCCATCAGGTCCCAGAATTACCCTAAGACGATACTCATATCTGCAAACATAATTGAAATGGAAATTAAGACTGGATATGAAGAACATAAAAAGACTTCTAGTTATGAATATGGTAAAAGTGAAAACATATCTTGGTATATTTATACTTGAGATGAACAAAAATGGACTTTTTGTGATTGCTACAGAAAATGGAAAAACAACAGTTGTAGGGACTTGAGATGAAAATGCAAGTATTGACAGTTATAGTTATACTTGTGGGGTAAATCCCATCGGTCTTGTTCAGAATACTTAAGAATCAAATCAGTGAAAGCCTTATGAGTGTCATCTGATGGAAGTTCTGGAGTAGGGTCCAGGGTCCACAACTTGTTCCTTGCAAATCCATACTTTTCACGGTTTTGAAATGTGAACTGCATTTGAGGGGACGGAGTACTTTAGAATTAAGAAATTAAACTAAGTGTAGGAAATATATATGGAGCAGAAATATTATATAGACACACACCTCAGGAAAACACATTTGAATACCACCACGTATAGGATTTGGAGGCTTGAAGTCAGCCTGCAGTACAGAAGAATCAATATCAAAGAGGTATACAACTATAAATGACGTCCCTACCTTCTTGAAGAGATTTGGAAGGCATATACTTATATATGCAGTGAACATGAATCAAATTTGCTACATAAAAATAAAATGTCATCTGTACCTTCTTGCTTACAAAGATCAGTTCTTCCCCACGATTAGTCGTCCAAGAAGTAACTTGTCCTCCAAACAGATACACCTGTGAGTAACATAATATACCAGAATGAAGCATCATAACAAAAAGGACGAAACGATAATCAAATTGAAAACGTAACCATAAGAAGAAAAATGCAGTAAGTAAAACAGAAAAGGCAGTAAGATATTCCAAGAAACAAATCCAAAATGATGAAATCAGGAGAGAGGAGAAAATGCAGTGTAAGAGAAACTTGACAATGCAGAAACAAAT